AAAAGAAGAGTGGGGGGGGGGTCTGATAGAGGTGCTTATGATTGTAAAGGGAATTGATAGTATTAATGTATCATCCTTTTTCATATTTAACAGTGAGAATAGTAGGATTAGAGGACACAAAAATAAATTTTGGTAGGGTAGGAATCATCTTGAGCTAACACAGTTTTATTTTTTCTAACAGGTGGTTGGCCTTTGGAATGGGTTACGCTCGGATATTGTGGTGGCAGTAAATTTAAGTGAGTTTAAGAGAAAGGTAGATTAATATGTGAATGATAAGGACTGACTTTAAGATTTTTTTTTTAATTATTAATAGTTTTAGTTTAGTTTAGAGGATGGAACAGCCGAGATGGACCAATAGGTCCCATGTTATCCCAAAACATTATGTTATGTTAATAAATTTCTATCTACTCTCCTAATTTCAAAGAATTGAAACTCACCCTTCACCTAATGAGATTAGGTTTGTTTGTTTTGTTGTTAAGTGCACAAAGCTACACAATGGGCTATCTGTGCTCTGAACACCGTAGATATCAAAACGCAAATTTTAGCGTTTTAACCCCTCAGACTTGCTGCTGAGTCACTAGGGGCATGATATTAGCAATCACTCTAAAAAAAATGGAGTAGCTTTCCCCCCTCTAGGTTCAGAGTAAACATACTATTCTTCCAGAGTGTAGAGAAGGAATCCTTAAGTGAATTGATCAATAATTAAGTAAAATTAATATTGTTGAAAATATTTTTCATTTATTAGTAAAACAAACTACGCCTCACCACGCCACAAGAAACACGGCCTCCCATTCGAGCTTTCCACCCACGGTAGACTTTATTTCTTGTTGCTCCCGTTGCCAGGAAACCAATAATCACCAGGATGATGCCCAAAATTGCCACTAAGAGTGAGAGACTTAGAAATGCAAGTCTAAGATCTATGAATCTATGGAAACAATAGACAAGCTAGTTAATTTGAGAAGATAAGGTATCAGGAAAATTAACAAAATTCAAACAAACTGTTCAAGCTTACATATTGAGCGTTTTCAAATCTTTGTTTTCACACACACACACATATAAAAGGTTTATCGTGTAAATCTTACGTTTTATTTTAACAGTGATAATCTTGTTATAAAATATTTCATCACAATATACAATGTAACAAGATAAGATGGTTAAATGAATAGTTGGACATTTTTAGATGCACGTTGCTTTCATTCTTGCATTACACTAACAATACATATAAAAATTAAGTCCAATCTCCAAAAGTCAAAGTAAGATAAGCTAAACATAATGTACAGTTATTCCAAATTAATTCATAAAAATGAATAATCATTCAGTTATGAGATATGTGAGGAAATGAAAATATAATTTGAGAAACTCAAATAACATCGCAAATTAACCCTAATGAGCTTGTTTAAGTAGGACTTGTGATAGAGTACATAACCATCATTTTGAATCTTATTTGAAATACCAAGATAAACCTCAGAGTTTCTTGTTGTCATCTTGGTTATTAACCCATAATGTATACCAGATAAAGAGTTACATTGTATAATGGGTTTTAATAAATGTCTTAAAGTGCAAGGTAAAAGCAACTCGAGACATAATAAAAGTATACCATCAAGTAATTTCAGTTTAAGATATTTTATGCTTTACGAAAACACTAACTAATATTTTTAGAGAGTACAAAGCTCAGAAGCTATTGCTCATTAAACAGATCACTTTGGATCAATACTTCTTCTACCTTTGTAAAGATCTGAAAATGTATATTCGTTGTCCAGCCATAGACCAACATTATACTGATACTATTTGTTTCAAACATACCTAGATTCACATTTCTTTAAATTGTTAAATCTAATCAAATAATGTAACAAAATGCCACATCTCTCATTCTCGTACAGTACATATTTTGTGTTTCTATGATTTAAAAAAATGTTTCTAACGTTCTAGTTACGAAAATGGTAACTCAAGTCCAGGTTATTGGCCAATTTAACCCACAGTGCTGCTTCTATAGCAGGATTCAGTTATGGAAGATATCTATGATTTTGAAAAATAGTTTTATTGTGTCATACATTAATTTATATTTGTAGGCCTGCTCTACGACTGTTACCTGAAGCAGAGATACTTCTGCGTTTTTGTGATCCAAGCTACAAAGAGAACATGAAATATGAGTGTAGTTTGGAGTTTACAACCAGATTCGTTTCTTTCTTGAGAGAACCAAAACGTGTAAAACTCTAGTTCCCGTCATTAACGCTTGGTCTACTGGTTATGTATATGCCTTTTTTCTTTCAGTTGATCAGTTAATCCGTTTTAGTTTATTTAAACAAAGTTTATTACATTTTATTTGAATAAAATTATTTCATTTTATTTTATTATTTTAATTCAGTTTACTACGTTTATTTTAACTTTAAACCCAATGTGATATGCAAACATATTATGTTTTCTACCTGCATTTATTAATATATAAATTAAAAAATATATATTTAGTTTTGGTTTCCATGCAGTTTTAACATAAACACATGTCCCAGAAAACAGTTAAAATTGCCTTGTTCTTTTTTTGCTTTATGTTAAATATCTACTGTGTCCTAGGGGATGTCATGGTTTACTTTGTTTAAGTCTTAGAAGGGTTAGTGACTGCAACGTCCTTTGCTGGCCCAGTAGATGATGCCTCGATGTTACAGTCAGTGAATGTTCTGTGAAAAAAAATACAAGGTTTCTTTTAATACTGAAGAAAATATTCGTTTTCAGCTTTATATGTCTTCTTGTTATGACTATTTCACTAGTAAGACAGAAAACTGACGATCCACTCAATGATCCTCTTGAAGTATCTTGTTGTCTGCACAAGTACACACACTGCTTTTTCTTTATTTACAATAAGGATTGTGTCTGTTTTATTTAAAACTTGTTCAGTCTCATTAAATCACAAACTTGAAAATTCAGTGAAGTTTTCAAATACAGATCACTCCACAAATTTCCTGGTTGACCCTGCTGTTATTAGTTCATCTAATATGTTTTGTATAAATCAGTTTTACTTGAGAATACCACATAACACAATAGCTCTACCACTGTATAATCATTCTTCTGTTTAAATCTACCTAAAAATTTTCTTCTTTGTTCAACTTGCATTCCAATTGTCAGAAATCACTTACACCTGTTCTTTCTCATATTATATCTACAAGTCTCTTATTATTGGCAAGGTTGGGTAATTTTGTGTTTTGTTAATATTTAAAATTAGTTCTATAATATCGTTTTTTAAGCAGTCAATGGCAATTTTCTTTTTTTTAAGCTGTCAATGAAAATTTTCAGTTTGTAGGAGAAGCAGTAGATACCTCAACCATTAAAGAGAGAAGTCATTGCTAATAAACGATGAAAAACTTTACGGAAAAATCTGTTCTCTCCACACATTTTAAAATTTATGATTACACAATAAGCACTCATCGTATAATCTAGAACTTCTGTGATTGTTGAGTAAAGTTCAACTTTGTGGGTGCCCAAGATCAAATAAAGCCTTTTAAGATCATTGCAATTATATATTTGTAAAAAGAATCAGAACCACAATTATTATATTATGATTTTTTTCGAAGATACAAGTGTGATATACAAAAATAATATGTATTTCCTCCCTCTCCCCCATTTAACATAGATTATTTAGTTTTCAAAATGTCTGTACATACTTAACGTGCATTTTAAATATAGAATATCGGAGAAAAATGCCATTAAGATATTCTCACTCTATTACACACAAAACTGGGTCATTCGACTAGGGTGTCAAAGGCATTTTCTCTTAACAAAAATCCTGTTAGAAAGAGCAGACTGTATAGAAATAAATGATGATATTTTCCTCTGATAAGTCAGGATACAACATCCCTTTCGGTGTGGTTAACGTGACTACCAGTCACATAGGTAGCGGCTACACCCTTAGAAAAATGAGATTTTTATTTTAAGTATATCCACATTTGCTGAGTCTATGATATGATAATGATGGTGATGATTATATTGCATTTATTAATTATTTTCAAATAGCTGATAACACTTCAGTATAACAACCACATGATAACTTTAAACTCAGTCGAGATTAAGAGAATTCAAAAATATTCTGTAATCCATATTCTATGCAATTACATTTATGGAACCCATTGAACCTAATAGTATCACAGAGTAAAAAGGGAGGTGCTGTGACCACAGGACTTGTTTTTTTTGGAGTATCTGTTTTTCGTTTGAAGAGTGTATTTGCCTGTAGTTTTCTGAACTATTGAGTGGAAGCATTGTACTTGAGGAAATATCATTTCCCACAAATCAAAGGGCTTACAAATAGAAGTAGGAGTTAGGGACTGAAAAAAGATGGCTGTCAGAGAGCGTTTTTGAGTTTCAGAGAAGTACTCTCCAGGATATTAGATTTTTATTGATGCTATGATAATCTTGACATATTTCTCTGCAGCCACAGACCAAGAAATGAGATTACTGGAATCTGGTGCACCTTGAAAGGTCAATCGAGTTCTCCTCAGAGGTGTAACTACATTGAACAAGAGATATAATTAATTGAGGATCATTGCATTGGAGTGCAGTCTGGCGAGTCCAAGACTAGATGGGATGGTCTCTATAGGATTATTAGGAATTACTTAATCAGAGTAGATCTGTTCAAGTTCTGGTTAATGTCACTTATGGCCAGTCTAGAGAGATTATGTCCATCAGCATCAGCTGTCTTGCCAGCAGTTGAGACATCATGTACAAACTAGTGAAGGTGGTGTTCCATGGAGCAGTGGCGAGCCAATGGGTGCTATAATTCCAGTAACTATCCTATATCAGACCTTAGACAGAATTTTAACATTCACCTGAGTAGAGAGGTCCCTGTGCAAGCCAACTTCACTGCGCACCTGATGTTCAGGACATCTCAGCCTGTGGGTGGGAAGTTTATGCTAAAATCACAGGAAGTTGTGATAGTGACTAAACAAACTCCTCTGAAATCTTAGGATGTAGAAAAAAGTAATGGAATATTTCTTGAAATGGTTCAGGCAGATAACTGCCTGGGATGGCAAAACTCAGGAAAAGTTGGTGCAATGTCTGATGCTGAGTTTGGATGTCCGAGCAATCAATTTTATTGAGAATTTGAGGAAAGTGAAACAAATTTTGATATCATTTTGACACAATGGTGAACCAAGTTATCCAGTGTACCAAATGCAAGGCTCTAAACTGGGGTTCCTCAGAGATCTTGGCCATTTATGCAAATGATCTGCACTGATTGCATGGGAAGTCATACCCTGCAATGGCATTGGCAGATTATTAGGCTATCTTCATTACTAAATTTGTCAAGGGAGTTCACAGTGAGACAATGAGACATCACTTAGGTGTGAGCGACTTTAACACCCTAACAGAAGCAGTTTTTATAGTCACAATGTTCAAAGTTGTGACTTAAAATCAATCAGAAGAAAGGAAAAATCCTGCATTAGTAGCTTTAGCGGCTAAGTCTCAGAGAAACAGTCCTATTCAAATGAGTGCCTCATGTTAAACCTGATCTATGTTGAGAACAAATTAAGAGCAAATTTATTTTGATACTACAACTCAATCCCACAGGATCCCATGGAATGAGAAAGGTCTCCATGTTCCTTCTATAGTATTTGTACTATATTCAATGCTAATTATGTCTCTTTCTCGATCTTGCTCTGAAAGGAGGATCGAAGCATCTGCTTCTAAATGTATGTGTAACAGGGTCACTTCATAGGAACTGTCATACCTTGTACTCCAGTAAGATGGGTGGTGCTACCAGTTTAGACTGACTGCACAACAGATTCAGAAAGATCTGTAGCAAGCTGTAGCTGTTTCAGAGCTTGTGTCAGATCTGGATATCAATATGGTGTAGTGCAAAAAATGCCTTGCGCCACAAGGTTTAGTAGTTAGCCCAGTTCTCGCAGGTCTAGGTAACACTTGGTATTTGCCTATGAAGATAAA